ATGTTTTGTTAATCAATTAAAAAGTTCACAACAATACTCATTTAATATGTCCATGCAAAACATCAAAAAAACAAAAAATTTCTATGAGATTTCAATCTCAAGTAAAAGCTTTTATAAAATTTATAAAGATAACTTTTATATTTATAGAAATAATATTTTTATCTACAAAATTTTTTCAGTTGCACATAAAACATTCTCTAAGTAAGATAAGATAATAAATTATAAATCAGCTGAAATATTAATTGAAATTTATAATTACGATTTTTTTTGATAGCAATAATTGTGTTTTTATATATTTTTTTTTAAATGATTAAAATTAAATTTGAAATTATGTAAATCAAAATAATTTTTTTAATATATTTTTAGTTAGAAATTAGTGTTCATATTGGACATTTGCAAATAAATTTTTTTTTTTAATTTATTCAAAATTTTCTAATTTTTAATTTATAAATTGTGCAGTCTTCTAATTCTAATCTATAATATTTAAACACATAATTGTTAACTATCAATTTAAATATTATAAAAAATGAATGATAAAAATGAAAGTAATAGTATTAAAATAAAACCTAAAATAGAATATGTTGTTCGGAAAGCGAAAATTGAAGATATTCCAATAATTAGAGAAATGATTCAAGTTAGTATTTAAAATATTTTATACAAGTATATATACAGTGCTCATATTGTTACTAAATTAATATTATTAACTTAATTAAATATTTAAGAAGTTAATTATAATGTGTAATGTGTTAAAAACTGCATGCATTGCAAATATTTCAAGTAAAACTTAATATTAGAATTAAAACTTAATAATAAAAAGCGAATTCAATTTCAAAACAAAATATTTTAATTCAAAAAAAATAAATTTCTTTGGCAATTTAATAAAATTATCCAAAATTAAGGTTATTCAGAAAACATGCCACAAAAATAATATTTGCAATATTTAGTTTTAGTAATGTGCAAAACAAAATAAAAATAACATAACTTTAGGAGCAGACAATATAAAATTTTTGTTTTATATCTTTATTGTTGTGATATTAAGTAATAAGTACCCTTCTGTAGGTATAAAATAATTGAAACTTTCATTTTAAAAGAGCAATTCAACGAATATTAAACAAAATGTTTAAAAACATAAAATCAACAAATAGAATAATTAATTAATATTAATTAAAATAACAAATTAAGAAAACATAATAAATTAATTACAAAAATTTGCGTATATAAATTAAAATTAACACACAATTTCATTGGAATTTTTTTAATTTTCAATGAAAATTGTAATATTTTCTCGCCCCGTCCTACAACATTTCACGTAATATAGAATATTTTACATTAAATAATGTTTATTCTTTAATAATTTCTATTTTGTATTGTCTATTTTCTATTCTATATGGTAATTTGGGCCAATAAAAACCTTGAAATATATAAATTAGTTAATTTTAATTTCATATATGTAAAAATCATTAAGTTTAAATTATAACAAAAAGTAATTTTATGTAATCATACTATAGGAATTGGCTGAATTTCAAGGAATGCCAGATGGTCCAAAAATTTCTACTGAAGGTACATAATATATGCATATTCAAAAAATATATTCTAATAATTGAAATTTTTTATTAACTTTAATAGAACTAATTAAAGACTCGGGTTTAAATGATAAAAATCAACATCAATATTTTCATAGTTATATTGTAGAAAAAATTAATTATAATTCAATGACTATACCAATGGAAAGCGAATCATCTGATATGAAATTAAAACGACCCCTGACACAGTAAGATTTATTTTTTAATTAAATTTTTTTTGTATATTATTTAATTTGTTTTACTTTTAATTGTTTGTGAAAAAAAATAGTCAAATATATATTTATTCTAAAATTCATAGCTCTGATTGTGTTCTTATCACTTACCAGTTGTAAAAACAGCATATAAATTTTAATATTGCATATAGGTTCTCAGTTAAAAACCACTCATTTGATTATAATGTCAAAATAAAATAATTTTTAATTACAAATTATTTACAGGGTGAATAAAATGTTAATATTTTCTGCATGTTTCAAATCATCCTGTTATCAAAGATTTCAAGAAAACGATATATGTATAAAATTACATGGGTATAACAATAGTTATTATATCTCTAGTTATTATATCCTTTTAATAGACATATATACATTAAAACCATGTACGTATAGGCCTATTCGATATTAATTTTAGGTTTTTAATTTTTATCTTATCATCTTATTAAATTTTAAAAGACTACCATTTAATAACAACATTATTTCTTACTACTAGGATAATAGCAATGCACCCATAAATATTATACGGCTCTGATTGAAAAGTATCATTAAAAGACACTATATGTATATGTAGTACAAAAACCTTAAACCACAATATTTATGGAAACAGAATATTAAGAAATAAAAAACCTATTTTATTTATTGATATTTTTTATACCCTGTATATTACATACAGAGTGATTCAATAATGAGCACAATATTATAAATCATTCTTTAGAGAATAAAAAATGGTTGAATTTCAAGCTCGACGGTTTTCGAGATAAAGATATTTAAGAAAAATTTTTGTAAATTTTTACTTGCTCTAATCCTCTGTTCTACGAAAGATATGAGCTTCCAACAAAAATTTTTTTAAAAACAGCTCATTGAGCCATTCCGAAATTACAAGTGATAGGAAATTAAGCTATGTCTTGTCTCAAGAATCTCAATAAGCACTTTCAAAAAAATATTGTTCGAAACTCATATTTTTCTTAGGCGGGGTGAGAGCTGCAAGTAAAAACTCTATCAGAATTCCCCAGTATCTTTGTCTACTTCATATATCATCTTTCCTCCTCCTACCCTTACTATATCAGAAACCATTGAGACTAAATACTTAGTTTTGAACAACAACTCTTCCCAGTTTTGATTCTGTATATAAGAGATGGAAATAATATGTTGCACATTACTGAATCATCTTGTATATATATATAAATATATATATTTATAATTTGATACTATTTGCTATTCTCTCATCTCAATATTTTAAAATTTATGACTTCTTATTATTGATTTTACTTATTATTTAAATACTAAAAAAACTTTATGAATGCACATTATCTGTATACATACTTATTATAATATTTGTATGTATGTATGCATGTGCATATAAAATATTGTTTACTGATCTAACGCATTTTATTTAGTTCAACATTTAAGCACTTTATATAGATAATGCAATTAATGTACATCTCAATAACATACGAGTGAATAAAGGCGTTAACTACCATATTTATAAAAATTGGATTTTTTTAATGAATGAAAGTGTTATATGCTTATTTTTCATATACAAATACTCATTTTTTGAAAAACTATTGTTTCATACTGGAAAACGTCAATTTTTTGGTCTTAATTTGTTATATAGTTTCAAAAATTTCAAAAATTTAAAACTTAATTTACTCAAAATTGAGAAATTTTAGTTGACACTTTCATTCATTTGTGTTCCTTTCATATATATATGTATGTATATGAGTAAAATAATAATATTGTCCCGTTCATTCAAATAAAAAAATATTGATTTAAAGGCTTAACAGAAGAGCTCAGTTAATAAAAATATATATTTATATTTACTGTATTTATGATATTTACATATATATATACATAATATATGTACAAATTATATACAATCCCACATACATATTGAATTTAAACACTTTTTTGATCGCGTTATATTTTTTTAACCTATTGACATTTTTCATCTTATCAGTTTTGTTTTTATGTATTCATATTTAAAAATCCATAAAATAAAATCATGTGGATATTTTCCATATATAAATTGTTGTTTTATAATATTTTCATATAATTTAGAACATATGCCCTTATAACAACGCGATATATAGGTATATACACCATATTATTATATTTATATTTTAATATCATTTCTGTAAATGATCATAAAATAGATGCCAAACACTGTAATTCAAGCGAGTATAGTCCTGATTAAAGGCATTTTCAATTTACACTAAATTTTTCCAATTCAATATTTTTGTTATTATTATTTTTTTCTATACATCGAAACCTGTTATCTGTTATCAATTTTATGTTATGTTACAGAAAAAAATTGTGTTATACAAACTGCAAACTGTATATAGGATTTTTATAATTCAAAACATATTATATTTTAAATAATTTTGACATAACATGATATGATACCTGAAATTTGGATATTTTTGAAAATGCAGCTCTTACGCTTAGAATTGTAAAGATTTTAATTAAATTAACAATTAATTTTATTCAAACTCTATACATTTAATTTATTTTTATGCATGATGATTTGAAAACTTGGCAATTTTAAACCTTAAGAACTGCATTTTTAAAAGTACCCCTAACTTGTTATTGTCAAATTAGATATACAACCATACGCACCACATAAAACGGATTAAAAAGGACAGTTTTTTTTTAAAAAAAATATTAAAAGGACAGCCTAATTACAATTATTTTTTAATTTTTGCAATACCATAATTTTTAATTCAAATTCGGTATAATATAATTTTTTAGAAGCTGTACAACATGTTGTCAATTTGACAGAAAATATATTTAACGAAATGCTGTCATATGGGTGTTCAAATTAATGCAGAATTAAGATTAAGTTTACTTTAAATATTAAATATTAATTCAAATTAAGTATTTAATTTAGTTTTCACATATATTTGGCCTTAAACCTCCGGTTTTCTTTAAACTTTATATTAAAATTTGCAAATTGTAGAAATATTCAAAAAATAAGTTTTCAACATTGTGTTTAGACTAATATTTATAATTGTACTGCACCCTTAATCATAATACCTCGTAATAATTTCACATAAATTAAAATTTCAATACCTAACCTATACAAAATGGATATATCGAATTTCGAATTTTCGAAGAACATCCACAAAATAACACTATTAAAATTTTACAGTTTTAAATATAATTGAAATTAGAATCTCCATTTAAATTTTCTCTTGTTTCTTCAGTTCAAACGTAGAAGTGCACCTGCAATTTAAACTTTAATAATTTAATTTCGTTTTGTTCTTTTTATAAAATTTGAAATTAATTTGAAAACAAAAAAATAAAATAAAATGAGTAAGTTACAAAACAATTGTAATTAATGCAAAAAAAAAATGTAAAGTGTTTAATTAACAATGTTTTTTTTCCATATTTTCTTAAAAGCCTCAACAAATTTAACATTTAAAACACCTGATCTTAAAATAAATGAAAGCGTATCAGCAAAAATAATGGATAATAAAAATAAAATTAAAACTCCAAATAAAATTCAACCGAAAAATAAAAATCGTCGTTCATTTACACCAAATAATTTAAATAATAGTTTACCATCACCGGGTATTTCACCAATTCCAGGAAATAATGGTCGTGCATTAAAAAATAATAATTGTCCTAATACAAATAACAATAATTCAAATTTAAAATATAATTCATATACAAATAATACACTTTTGGATGATTCTATAATATTATCATCATTATCACCATCATATAGGGCTGATCATCTTGATGATATGTTATTCACTCTACCAAAAAAATTAGTACCGCATAAGAAAACTGTTATAAAACGTACTTCATTAAATAATAATAATGATTCAAATAATAATAAATCGATGATTCCTGGAATAAAATCAAATTCAATGGTATATCTATATATATATATATATATATAATTTACATATTATGTTTATTAAAATAAATTTTAATTTTTAATTCATTTTTAGAATACACCATTATTTTCAGCGAAATCTTTAAATTTTTTATCATCAACACCATCAAATAATAATAATAATAGCATTATTGATATTGATAACATTGATGATCGAAATAATCTTGATAATAATATATCATTAATATTTAATAAATGTGATAATTTAAGTGCAGATTCAATTGATTTCAGTGATATACAATTAACACCAAAAACTACTCATAATAATCGTATAACAATATCATCAGTTCTATTTGAATTAGGCTTACAAAAATATATTAAAAATTTTCAAGAGAAAAATATATCATATAATTCATTTATGAATTTTAATAATTCTGATTTAATTAATTATGGTATCGAGAATGAGAGTGATCGTGTTCATATGTTAAAATTAATTAATTCTGAAATGGAATCACCATGTTAAAGCGAAAAATACAATATTGAAATATCAAAAATTTAAATATGAATACTAATTTATTTATTGATCTTGCATTGATGGTTTCATGTAAATTCTAAAATTTAAAAAAAAAATAATAAAATTTTTGTAATTAATTATTTATTATCATTATGATATTTTTACTATTATATTTAAATTCAGCATTTTGTTATAAAATAAAATATTAAATTTTGTTATTAAAAAAAAAAAGAAAAATCATTCTGTAAAAAATAAAATTACAAAAAAAAAATTTATAAAATAAGAGAAGTTTCAACAAAACTTATTTACTTTTTCTGCTTTCATATGTTCAGCTCAATGTGAAGATTCAGGGGTGCATGTGGAACAATGTACTTTGATATATAAATTAAATATTCAGGGGTGCGTTGTATAGCGTCGGATATACTGTAAATATTTACCACTTATAATATTTATCAGCATAACAATCATCGGTGGTATTAGCTTCCCAGGAATAAAATAAATTATAATATTAATTTAGTGTCGAATATACTCTATATTAGGCCATCAGCATCAAGTTCAAATTTTTTCCCGAAACAAAAAAATTTTTTATAAAGAAAAAGTGTTTTTAATATTCTAAGTTTTTCGATTAATAAAAATTTTTTAAATATTCTCTTTTTAATCAGCCCCGGTTCGGACTTGTTGAGCACCTTACATGATTTCCAAATAATGAAAGAAAATTTTTATTTTTTAAAATTTAGTTATTCCTTTAGTTTTCAGTGGTGTCCCTGTTTTCCGTCGATCATTGCATATGTTTACTCTACATAACTTAATGCATACAAAGAAACTGTCGTTGTTGCTATACTGGTTAATGCTGTTGCATCTTGTTATCTCATTTGAACGAATAAAGTATAAAATGTACATAAATAATTGCTTTTTTTTCAAAATATTTTCCTAATTCTATGCATTCTATGATTTAGAAATTTGTTGCTTTTAGTATCGTCACCATTTCTCACTTAATTCAAGCTACTTTTATATACTATGTATTTTAGAAACTCTTCACTATACCTCAAATAAAATTTTTACTTTAAAAATTTTCAAAATACACACAAAATACACAACCTAAACATGTAACAGAAAATTTTCCATATATTTTATATTTTTATTTTCTATACTTTTAGATCAGTGGCAATTGGATACGCATTATGTTTTTTTTCATATTCAACATGGCAAGGAAAAAGTTATTTTATTGAAGATATTTATATAAGACCAGAATATCGAAAAAAGGGTATTGGACGTTTATTATTGAAAGAAATATGTAAAAATGCTAAAAATTATGAATGTTTAAGAGTAGATTTTCATGTATTAGAATGGAATCCATCACGTGAATTTTATGAAAAAATGGGTGCAATTAATTTAACTAAACTTGAAAAATGGAATTTTTATCGTTTAGATGCAAAAACAATTGATAAGATTATTGAAGAAAACTAATTAATAATATTTATTTATATTTTTTATATTATGTAATTGCATGTACAATTAATTTTAATTAAAATATTTTGTGAAAAGCACAGCAAAAATGTTCCTGCTTTTCACTGCTCAGTAAAAATTCGATTTTTATAATTTGAAGTTTGTGAATAAAGCTTTTAATTTATTGAAATATGCAAGTCAAAATTTTGTAGTCAAAATTTGCTTTATTTTACGATTTAGAACGTAAGATTTATGTATGTGCATATATAGATACTGTTACTAATTTAAAATTATTAAAATTATTTTATTAAATACAAACTTTCTTTGTATAATCAATTTTCATTTATGATGTTTAGTTGCGTCAACACAAACGTTAACGTCACTGATTAATTTTAAATACAACATCAACTAATTACATAGCATAAATAACTAGATGACGTTTTGTCATACAAATATTGAGCGTACATATATAAATATTTTGTACATATATGTATATCGAAATGTTAACATAAAACATTTTCTTTGCCAATAATGCTTACCTATTTGATGTATTTATATGTACACACATACCTTGTTAAATTACGGCCAATTAATACACCCAAATACATGGGCTTAATGAAAAAAATTTATCACCCGGAAAGTGAAATAACAGATAGAAAGTGATGATAATTCTGAGCTATTCACCCAGGAAATAAATGTCAGAAATTGATTAAAGCCAATTTTATAACCTAACTAGTCTTACCTATTAAGCGGACAAAATTGGTTATTATATTAAAAATTCTTTGATTACAGTTCTTGTTTCATCCTAAGTGTATGCAATATTTAGACACGTTCAAACTAAATGGACTACATATTATTATGTACATACATCACAAACCATCCATTTTATTTTTTTATTATTGCAAGTTTTTCGATCTTGTTGAATTTTTTTGCGGTGAAACACTTCTACTATAATTTTCATTATGCTATTATCTTATCTTACACATTTTGCCGGTGATTTTTTCAGAATAATTGAACTGCAGTGAAATTTAAAATTCAAGTTCAAGTAGACCAACAATGAAGTAAGTATAATTAAAAAAGTGTTATGTATGTATATGCAGCATATATGTACATGTATAGGCAGCATATATGTACATATGAGCACCCAAAGTTTTTCGATTTCATAAAATAGAAGACCATTTTGCGATTTTTACTTTAAAAATGAACATACTCAGATACATACATTAATCATATGCAAGCGCAAATGCATCTTGTAATATTTACGATTCCTATATAGTATATGTATGTACATATTAATCTAGAAGATGTACAATAAATTTTTCGTATTCATGCACAAATTATTTCTTACGAAAATTGGCAAATCTCCAAAGAAAAAAAGTTACGTATATAATTTTTTGTATATATGTATGTATATGCATGTAGATGATCAAATATTGGATTGGAAATTTTCAGTCATTTGCAAAGTTTCTTGAAGATCTGATGAAATTAAGATTTTAAATAATTTTTTGCTTTTCCATATAAATTAATTATTAAAATTTTTAAGTAAATTTAAGAAAAAGAAATTGAACTGTTCTGCAGGTTGAGAATTATTTTTCAGGTGAATTCTTCTAATTAATTTGTATAAAAAATTAAAAAATTATAAATTATTTCTGTAAATTATTTCATAATATTAAAAATAAATCCTTTTTTCAGTATAATCTCCTCATAAATTGCAAATTATATTAAAAAAAGATGAATAACGAAAATAATATTGGCAATAATAACAACGATAAAAAACAATTTAAAAATGTTTCTCATGTAATTTTTGATCTTGATGGATTACTTATCGATTCTGAAACAATTTATGAGCAAATTGTTGCAGATATTGGAAAAAAATATGGTAAATCATATCCGGATCATACAAGAATGCGTTTATTGGGTACAACAGAAAAACGTTCTGCTGAAATTGTTATCGAAGATTTACAATTACCGATATCTGTAGAAGAATATTTACAACAATATAAACAATTATCTAATGAAAGATTAAATAGTATAAAATTAATGAAAGGTGCTGAAAAATTAATAAGACATTTAAATGCAAATAAAGTGCAATTTTGTTTAGCAACTAGTTCATCACAAGTAATGGTAGAAAAGAAAACTTCAGCTGTACCAGATTTAATGAAAATGTTTCATCATATTGTTTGTGGATCAACAGATCCAGAAGTAAAAGAAGGTAAACCTGCTCCAGATATTTTTTTAATAGCAGCATCTCGATTCGATGATAAACCTAATCCAGAAAAATGTCTTGTATTCGAGGATTCACCAAATGGTATTAAAGCTGGTGTAACGGCTGGTATGCAAACAATAATGGTACCAGATCCGCGTGTAACACCCGAACAAAAAAATTTAGCAACTCAAATATTAAATTCATTAGAAGATTTTAAACCCGAACAATTTGGTTTACCAAAATTTGAAGAATAAAAAATTAAGTACCTACATATCTACATTTAACTGGAACCAATAATAAAACCGCGTTGATAAAAAAATTTTAAAAATTAATATCTAAGCTTCTTATATTTCATAAGTCCATGCAATATTAAGTAAATGAATCTTTTATTGAATAAGAACAAATAAAAAACGAGAATGAACAAAAAAATTTTTTTATTTAACTTCAATAAATTTTACGTGAAAGCGATAAATTTTTCCGGTTTTCAATATTCATACATGTACCTGTGGATATGTTCATATACATATGTATATCTATGCATGTAGATATCAAAACTTCCCAAATTGTCTAAGCTTTTCTCACACTACTTTTAAAATTCACACCCTGTACCTACATAAAATAAAAATATCCATGCACTCAACACTAGTGCATACTTTCTAATATCAATTTTCATTTATGATGCAATATTGAAAGGGTAAATATATGAACATATTTATATTTTATATACGTATTTGGTAATTATTTATATACATATGTACAAATATTGAGCCAGTAAAGCTTTTTATTACAAATACAAAACTGGAAATGTAAAGCGAGGCGGCAATTGAAAATTATTTAATGATTTTCTTGATAAAAAAAAGCATGATTCATAACAATTTATTTATTTATGTATGTACGTATGTATGTATGTATAAGCAAACCACAGTCCCAGTTCCAGTTCCGTTACAGTAACGTTGTGTAACGTATATATATTTATGTGAAATTTTCACTTATCTAATAGAAATTTATTTACTTTTCACTTATCAACAGATGCGTACAATTATGTAATTTTCTCGTGCATCCAATATTATCATTGTGTTGATTCCAATATCGATGTGTAAGTAAATATGTATGTACGTATATATAGATAAGAGTTTATGTATTAAAATGTCGAATATTGGTAATGTTCCTGGCAATGCAGTGAGTAGGCAATTACTTAACTAGAATACTTTTTGTATTCTTTTTGTTTTGAATACCTTTGCATTTAAATTTTAAAATTTCTAATTGAAAAGAAAATTTTTTAATTTAATAACAGTTACTGTAATTGAACGTAATTCTTTTGAATTTTACTTAAGAATTAAAAAAAAAATATTTTAATGAACATAACAGAGCCGGACATGTTACAGTTCAACATGTAATGTAAAATTGAAACTTCTTTTCTAGGAATTATATATTAAGTAGATTCCAGTGTAGTATTGTCAATTGATTATTGATTACGATTCCAATATGTAATTTACTTCTACTCTTAGGTAAGCAGATAATATAAAATAAGAATGCGAATATTATTCACGCTCACATTATTCAGAAGTAGAAAACATCTTGCCAGTAATTTAGATTTTTATGCATTTTGTGCAAACTAGCAAAATACATATATACATATACATATATGTAGGTACATACGTAAGCAAAAAATACAGAACATTACCATTGATAACACATACATACTATAAGTAAGTATATACATATGTATCTATGTTCGTATATCAAAATGTAAAATAAACTTGCGCTTGGGCACAATTCAAGTTCAAGTGCATATCAAAATATATGAGCTAACCTATATTCTCAGGTGTAAATATCAAACAAATAATAAAAAATATTCTAATGACAAAAGGTGGAATACAATAAAGAACAAGTGAATATACAATTCATATATGCACGCATATACATATGTATATGTATCTGTGTATGTATATTATAAAAACAAATAAATAAAATATACCTACATTAGGTAAGCTTTTTCAGTTAACTGCAAAATTTCTAAAACATCTGACGATAATCTTTATCAAGTTAGTTTTATTGATTTTTTATTTTTTTCTGAGTTCACCAGTTATTTACATATTTCTAAAAAAAAAGCAGTAAAAGACTAATATTGGATTTTCCAAGATTTTTTGCAGTGAATTCCTATATTTCGGTAAATTTCTGGTACTCATCATATAACATTAATAGTTTCAATTTATTTTATCGGTTTCAGCTTATTTAATAATAACCAATATCAACTTTATTATTTTTCTATTGTTACATAAAAGTAAATAAATATGAGCAACGGAAGTGATATGAACAATAATGACAATAAGGATGGAAAATTATTTAATGAAGTTTCACATGTAATTTTTGATCTTGATGGATTACTTATAGATTCTGAAACTATTTATGAGCAAATAGTTTCAGATATTGCGAAACAATATGGAAAAATATATCCGGATAGCACAAGAATGCGTATACTAGGTACAACAGAAGAACGTTCTGCTGAAATTGTTATTGAAGATTTAAAATTACCATTAACAATGCAAGAATATCTACAACAATATAATAAATTATGTAATGAAAGATTTAATGCTGTTAAATTATTGAAAGGTGCTGAAAAACTTATAAGACATCTGAATGCCAATAATATACCGTTTTGTTTAGCAACCAGTTCGTCTCAAACAATTGTCGTAAAAAAGACATCAGGTATACCGGAATTAATAAAAATGTTTCATCATATCGTTTGTGGATCAAGTGATCCAGAAGTAAAAGAAGGCAAACCTGCCCCGGATATATTTTTGATAGCAGCATCAAGATTTGAAGATAAACCTAATCCCGAAAAATGTCTTGTATTCGAGGATTCACCAAATGGTGTTAAAGCTGGTATAGAAGCTGGCATGCAAACGATAATGGTACCAGATCCACGTGTAACACCTGAACAAAAAAAATTAGCAACACAATTTTTAAGTTCATTAGCAGATTTTAGACCAGAAGAATTTGGTCTACCAAAATTTGAAGAATAAATAACACTTAGCCTATGCAAAATTTAAAAAAGCTTTAAATTCAAAATGTTAATCATTTAAAATGTAAAAATACATAATGTGTGATTGTACACGAGTAACTGTTGTTAATAATATTAATTGTAAATGAATCAACAAATGTAAAAAATTATAATTTTAAGAAAATGTTCAAGAAAAATCTGATTTTAAAACAATAAATTTTGATTTATTGATATTTAAGATAAATGTATATAATATAATATGTATGCATTCATACTAATTCCTTTATTTTTACATAAAAAAGATTCCTTAACTCATTTCAACATAGATTCCAATTAAAAATATTTAGTTAACATATACTTTATTATTCTGATGATAAAAAGAATATTTGAACATATTTTATTAATTTAAATAACCTACTTAAAATTAAAAAATAGAAAAAGCTTAAACAACAATACCAAATTGATACTGAACAATATTTTAATTTCCCTTAATAATTAATAATCAAATGAGAAAAGCTTAGAGTTTATAATGCACATTTTGTAACATAATGTATATATATATGTATATTATGTTAATACATATATGCATACAATATGTATATTTTTGTTACATGTATATATCATATTGTTTTGCTACATATATACCTATATAAATATAAATATATAAAATCTACATTTATGTATCTAAATTTACATTAAATGTTATTCAACTGTAGTACCCGCTAAAACGTGAATTTGCATACTCTTGGTGGAATTATAGACTTGTCCTGGTGGAAATGGTTGCAATTTTGGATGTACATCTTGCTTATTTTTACCACCTGAAATATATTTAGAAAGTCGAACATTTGGCATTGGCAAAAAACCTACACTCAATGGCAGCACATCCAATGAAATCGAATGACTTTCTACGTTGTTCATTGAAACAACACCTTAAAATTTTTATTTCAGTATTAAAATTTTCAAGTTTTGATACTTCTGTTGCGTAAATATTCAAATTACCTGCTGTTCTGCCACATACCGCCCACATATTTTGATCAGCCAACACTTCGTACATCAAATCATTATATGGATTATCATGCATTTTTGTTATTTTTAAATTTAAATTGCAAACTGAGCCGACACGGCATAGTTCATTTGATTCAATTTTCGCTTGAATCTTAAATAATGTCGTATAATCTCGAACATCAAATGCGCATGCATAGTTCCTTTGAACATCTGGTTTATTGTAGCTAGCGTATTTTGTAGAAAAGTGAACTTTTATAACCGGCATCTCATTTTCAGTCTTCAATGGCTCAACTTGTAATTCCCATAAAAATGACACAGTTAAATTTTTGTATATTTCCTAAAAGTAAAATTATTTATAGTTCGAATAATAAGATTTAGAAAACCTTACAATTGTTTTTTGACTTTTTGGATTCAAATCAACTAAATTTACTCCTTTAGTGTCGCATTTCATCTGTGTTCCAGATAAAATTAAATGTGCTTCCAAGCCTTTTAAGCAAACATGCAGAAATTTTTGGGTATTGCATGTATGTAAGCGACATGAGGCAGTCATTGCAGGCATAAAATGCAATGGAATATCTAAATCATTGCGGGACCAAGGACAATTCAATGTTATGGCATGCTCAATGTGTTTATCCGTATTACATCCTGGTAAGTCAGTTAAAACAATTAATGGAATAGTACGTTCTTCAAACGACTTGAAATTTGGTAGAGGACAATTTATTAAATTTTCAAATTTCGTCTCTTCTGAACTATCTATGTTAGGTCTTATTTTCAAGTGTTTTGAGCATTTAAGAGTAATTTTTGCATCTGGAGGGAAAATAAAACTTCCACCGGAAACAAATAAAGTTACAGGTTGTTCAATACCAGCTATTAAATTTTTGAAACATAATATTGCTGAAGCTGCCTTAGTTGTGAATTCAAATGGTTTTAATTTTATAGGTATCTTATCAGATAAAAATTCCAACTGCCGCATTTTAATGGAAAGCTGTAAACGAAAATTTTATTTTATAAAAAAATTTTGGTTCTCAAAGAATCTAACCTGTTTAAAGTTCCAAATCCCAACCCTTAGAGCCTTCCCTTTAAGTTCAATTAAATTATTACCAGGATGTATAACTAAAGGATCAACAGCAAAACAGTTGGTAAAATCCGCTCTAATTGTTGGAGATATCTTTCTTCTTGTACTGCTTGTTCTTCTAACAGGTTTAGAGCTTTTCTGTACATCACAACGAACAGATGCTGAAGACAGAGTATTGTCCTGTTTGTATTCTAAATGAAGAAAAACTTCTTGTTTTGAGTTTAAAAAACAATTATTAGAAATTGAATCAACTGATGGTAAATCGTTGGCATTATTATTTGAGGACATCTCGTAAGATAATAAAATCTTGTCTACATATATTTCTCTGGGAAAATTACTTTCTAATTTAACCTGTACTATAACCATATCATCTTGGATTATAATTCCCTCATTTAGCACATCGATCGCACAGATTTTGAAATGTTCTTCCAATATACAAAAATAGGGATTGGCATCATTTTCAACTTTTAAAATTTGTGGCAAATTTTTTAAACTTTTTAAAAATTCATCAAAATAAAACGTGCGTACAAGTACTTCCAAATCTAAGCAACATGATATGGTACAACAAGTTTTAGTGTACGCTAGTAAATCTTCCATCTTACGAAAGCAATTAGCTAATTCCAATAAAGTTTGACTAGCTAATGCCGTCCATGATTCTGCTTTTAACTCTCTTAAAAGGTCCGTGAAAAAAACAACAGCTTTGTGAGGCTCATTCAAAGCACAGTAAAAATTTCCCAAATCTAAGCCAACTAATCGTGCTGATCTTAAACGTGAAACATGTTTATACGTAGAAATAGCTAGTTCACTAAGTTCTAAATAAAGTTTTTGAAAACCTTGATTTGAACCTAATGCTTCTTTCAGTTTTTCTGTAGAACTTTTTTTAGGTTTTCGACTTGGAGAATGAGATTTTTCAATTTGTGGTGTAGGATCTAAAAAATTCTGCGCATTTGGAGCATCACCTATACCAGCTGAGAGCTGAACAACAATATGTAATTGTTCTGAGCTTGGAGTGAATCCAGGTAACAATCCACATAATTTCCCTAAATCATATAACTTATCTTTAGCTAAATTCCATATCGGCGCACACTTTTTAAAACATTCAACTTGATTAGACTCCATTACTTGATCACATACGTCTAAAACTTCCAAAGAGCAAACAAATTGCCAACATGATAATGCACCTTCAATGACATCAACCTTGAGCACTTCAATTTCTCTAATAGTACCAAATAAAAACGGGAGTAAACGGTCTGCAATTTCTGCATGCTTTTCCATTAATATTAGCAGATGCGCTTGTCTTTCAAATAAATAATTTCGAAATTCTAGAAATGTTACCTCCACATTTTTTATTTTTTCTCTAATACTAAATTTATCTTGACGATGCAGTGATATGCCATGAAATGAAGCTGAAGAATGCTGGAATGATTCCAACCATTTCTGTTTTTCACCGAACCCAGAATTGGTAACAAATTGAGAAAACATTGCATCTAATTCGTCATATTGAATAAGAGCTTCGGAATGTAATTCTAATTTTTCTAGAATTAAAGCTAAGTCTTCTTGCAACAAAAAATATTTAATAAAATCCCAATTCTCGTGGTTTCTTTTTTCCCTATTTACACGAATCAGCTCCTCATATTTAACAATATTTTTACTATAACTGGACAACATTAAATGTCTTATTCTTTGCACTAGACAGCGAAAAGATTCCGTAGATTTTTGTTCGAATTTCGCTGGGTTAAGTACCGATATGCATCTATCACCATTTTTCGAGGCAAAATCTAGTCGAATTTTATCTAATACAGTGGTTCTTGGTATTATATTCTTTGTTTTTCTTGCATCAATTGTTTCAACTAACAAGATCATCCAATCTGCAATATAATATGTATTCAAAACTTTTAACCATGCATCGATCTCCTCTTTAACACTATTTTTATATGTATCAACATCCTAAAATTGATTTTCAATTTAAAAAAAAACCTATGTAAAATAAAATTTTTATTTTTACCGCGCATTCTGTTATAAAAATGTGTAAAACTGGATGCTCCTGAATGCTCCATTCACCTTTTTTAAATTTTTCCAAGGGTGTTTCTGAAAATGGTTGAAAAACTGCTTCAAGGCGAACATTTTTCGATGGCCTTCCAAAAGCTCGTCTCCACTCACAAGTATCCAGAGGAATACTAGAAACAATATGCGGCTCCAATGACTTAAATAAAGGTCCTACACCTGAATCTAAAAATAGAATTTTACCCGTTATTCGCTGTCACAACAAAATAAACAAGCTTTACAAGTCAGAACAGGCTTCGAGTTCATAGTTTTTAAAACAATCAATTTATTATTTAACAAATTTTATACGCTTTTCCAAATATTTATTAAAAAATATTTACTTTCTTTTTCTAAATTATTATCGTATCCATCATTAAAATGCCAATATATGAAACAGCTGATTTATGCTTATACAAATTTAAGGGTCGTTTTCATTTATCAAGGGAAATTCCGTATTTTGTCATTCGTTTGACAAATAATTTAAGCTACACATGTAGTATCACAAAATATCAAGAATTTGCTGAAAATGATTAAATTAAATAAAAAATAAAAAAATGAACGTGTGTTTAATTTATATTGCAAGGTTTCCATGAAAAATACAATAATGTCTCTTCTTCAAAATGTATTTTTCCAATTTTGACTTTTCAACAAATTTCATGAAATTTTTTTGTTTAAATCACAGTTGACAGAAACACAAGTTTGGACTATAATATTTTTCTTATAATCAAATTTTTTAAAATAACGTAATCTATATGGAAAAAAGTAAAAGTGATTGGAACAAAAGAGTGTGTTGTTCATTAGAATAACTTTATGAAATTTATATGAAGCCAATGAAACAGACATTGAATGAAAAGTTTTTGTTCACACTGTATTGATTGCAAATAGGTCTTGATCAAAGCTAGACGACTGACAATAGTTTAGGTTAAATTGTCATTTCGAAAATTTGAGAAGTCAAAACTTGACATTACAAAAAAAAAATTAAAAAAAAATAACAACAACAACATTGTTGAATATTTTTCAAGTACGCTAACGCTAAACTTAACCAGGGAAGAACTATGTTTTATCATGTAATTAAAAATTACTTTTATTTATTGTATGACTTTAAATATTGAATTTTTATTATTTGAAGATATCTTTGGAACATGAAATATTATTGCATCCTAGATATTTTGGTCCACAACTTCTTGAGACTGTAAAACAAAAATTGTATACTGAAGTTGAAGGGACATGCACCGGAAAATATGGATTTGTTATAGCAGTAACAACAATAGATCAAATAGGATCAGGAGTCATTCAACCTGGGCAAGGTTTTGTCGTTTATCCAGTAAAATATAAAGCAATCGTGTTTCGGCCTTTTAAAGGTGAAGTTTTAGACGCTTTGGTTAAGCAAGTGAATAAGGTAAAAAGAAATTATTAATGTGAAATTAACAATCACATATTTTGTAAATATTGGTACTAGGTTGGAATGTTTGCAGAAATTGGACCACTTTCATGTTTTATATCACATCATGTAATTAACTATAATTTTAATATACTTATAAATTTTTAATATTTAAATGTTTATTGTAATTTTTAGTCTATACCAGCTGACATGCAGTTTTGTCCCAACGGTATCCCTCCATGTTATAAATCAAAAGATGAAGATGTTGTAATATCCGAAGAGGATAAAATTCGTTTAAAAATTGTTGGCACCAGAGTGGATGCAACTGGAATTGTAAGAATTTCTTAAAAAAAATTGGTTTATAAATTTAATTAGCATCCTATTCGTTTTTCTTTTAGTTTGCAATTGGTACATTAATGGATGATTATTTAGGTTTGGTTTGCAGCTAATTTAAATTGTTTTTAAATAAAATTTTTTTTACAATAAAGATAAAAAGAAAAAAGCAATATGCCGTGCATTTTTTAATATTTTTTATATTTGAATAATTTTTATATGTATAAACATTAATATAAATAATTTTATTTGTATATACTTTCATATTTTAGTAGATAAATAAAGTAAAAGTGAGTACAACATATAAATTACGTATATACATATAGGACATACGACAAAATCTTGGTTTACATTGACGAAGTCTTTAAAATTAAGTTTCAGTAAATAGACATAAATTGATAACTTTTTCTTTTTTTTTTTTTGTTATATTTCAAAGAGAATCAGTAGCACATTTTTATATGTATATAATAAAAAAAAACTATTCTAGCGAATTTAAATTGATTTACAAGTCCCAAGAAAATAAATGATGCTTAACCAACATATCTCTGACACCATCTTTTAAAGATTGACTTTCAGTACCTTTCCTTGGTGGTAACTCCCAGTCAGGATTTAAATTGAAGGCAAATTGTGACAAAATTCGTAACTCACATTTAATTTGCACCCAACCAGGTGAATTTATAAAACTCCATGTTTGATACCATTTCTGTACAATTTCTGTACACGAACATAGAACTTCTAACCATAAATGCAGAACTTGCTCATTTAGTCCCAAACAAATTAAACTTCGAAGTTTTACATCCATTTGTGCATGAGCATTATCATGGCTTTGATTTATTGATTGAACACATCTGTACAATAACTCTTCTGGCGTTAAAACTTTTCCATCTTCATCTAAACGGTATGTTTTGCATAATATTAATCGACTATAAACTGATTCAAAATCTTTTTCAACTTCACGTGTGGCCGCTTCTTCTATAAATAACCAAGGGTGACAAGGGCCGCCCAAAAAATTCGGACGTTTCATTCCATGTTCTAAGACTTGTTTTATTGTTGGGGCCAATGTACCGCGTACTAAATCTGTGACCGTTTCTGATATAGCATCATCACCTGCAGTGCTATATTGTTTACTTCTTTCATCTAACAATTCAACAAATTTTGCTGGAAACCAACCTCTAAGTCCATTTAGTTCACCCACCCAGCAATGTTCGTCTTTTTGACTTATTATTGTTATAATATCATTTTTGCGAAAACCTAACTCATCATCATCGTGTCTTTCAAAATCATGCAATGCTTTTGCCCTTCTATTTCGATTTTTCGACACATTAATGTAATTTTCATGATCTTTCGCATGACTATCCATACCGTAATCAGCAATCATCTTGATGTGTGCCTGTAACTTTGGTTCAATTGTTATAAAATGACGACAAACCTTTAAAATCGCTTCTCTAAGGTCTACTAAAATTTCTGTCTGGCGAATGTTTTTGTTCTTTGTATCAATTATACAATTATTATCTTCTCCAAACAGATAAGTTTGAAACATAGATTTATTTTTTTTGACTTGTCTTTTTACCAGCTGCTGTTTTGGTAAATTAGGTACAGCCTCAGGATTTCCAACTAAACCTCCTTGATCTGCCATTAAATAAGCTAAATGCCGCCTGCGGTGTGTATCTATAACTGTTTGACTTAAAGAACCGCCAACTTCCATTGCACGTTGAAATAACATTTCCACATCTTCTATTTCTCCTGGAATGTCTGATAATGAATTGAAAATTTGAGCCGAATTTTCCAAATGTTCCAAATCTTTTTCTTTTATTTTTAACATGCCTAAGGTAATTTGAAATAAAACTATTGAACCATCATAAAAAAACCAATCCCAAATGCGTACAAGTATTTTTGTATGTACCACGTTAGCAAACAACGTTAAAAACCAATGCAAAGTAATAAGCGATAACTCAATATCATGTTTCTTTAGCGTTTCGTCGACTCCTGATAAATAATTAGCTATTAATGTTTGCATCACTCTTTGGTCAGCTTGCACACCAAGTAATGTTGAAGAATAATACGAAGCTGGCAGTAAATCTTCAACAATAGTTGCCATAGTCCAAAATGCACTCTCTTCTTCCATGAACAGTAATAAAGAAGCTACTATTACTCCTGTTCCCTGACAATAACCAATATCTGGGTAAAGCCATGCTATTCCTCTTAATATTCTACAATTAAGAAATATTTTGTTAATGAAGATCTTATATATAAAAATACTTTACCTCCTTAGTCTAGGAATACCAGTTCCATTAGGAGAACTAAAACAAACATTCGTCGGAAGAATTCGCAACAAATCTTTTTCTATTTGTTTTGAGGTCATCAGTTGATCATTACTTGAGGCTTTTATAATATCCTTATATGTAGTTTCTGATTTTAATTTTTTTTGTAAAGCCCCAGACAATCTCATCCACATTTGAGGTCTTAAAGAGTGTGGAATTCCATCTCTTACCATATTACGCAATTTTTCTGTTCTAGGAAGGCATACATCAACGTTCTCCCAAGTTAATTCACTAGCCTCTTTATTATGAGAAAATTCCAAATGTGCAATCCATTGCAATCTTTTTTGTGGATCTTCAACAAATGGAATACCTAGAAGTTTGTTTGAATTTTGTTCTGGTCCGTCTTCTTCTTCAACACGAAACCCAAATTCATCAAACTGATAATCTGGTTGATCATTTGGATTTTCGGTTTCTGGTTGACCTAGTTTGGCAAGAATATTTTGAGGCCACATCGATGGGATTAAAGCAGAAAACGGTCCTCCCGGAGAGGGCCTTATTCCATCAACCACATTAATTTCTTCTGTCAGTTCTGCCAAATCTATATCTAATTCATCTTCTTCATCATTAGCTGTTTCAATATTTCTCTAAAAAATAAGAAAAAATGTCAAAGTTAAAATCGATTAATTTAACAAATGCGGAGGTGTGATAACGATTCCTTTAAAATATTTTCTTACCAAATGCTCTTCTTTACCAATGTACCCTTCATGGTCTCGAGACCCAAATAGTTTCTGAGCCATCTCCATATTGATTGTTTATTTAAATATTATTTTCTAATATTTTCAAATTTAAATAGACATTTTTCTTATTTACTATTTTTAAAATAAATAAATACTAAAGGTAAACATTTCAGCTAGTTGACGTGACGAGTTTCTTTTCTTTTCTAATTTTTGTTTATTGAGTTACGACATAAGACAATTACGACGAGCTAAGTCAAAGTATATAGTAGTATGCCAATAATCAGAGTAAATTTATGTGAGTGAATTTTTTGATTGAAGATATAAACTAAATAAATAGAAATTATTATAATATAATGTTCACACTTTTTGACAAAGAAAAACATAGAAACTATCTACGTTGATATTGTCAAACTATTAAAGTTTTTATATCTACTTGTTCTAGTTAATCCCTCACTTAGACACGAAAGCCTCTGCATTGTGTTTTACCCCAACTGAAAGATAACAACGTTTTCTCACTGTTTGAGAAAACTTGTCACTTATACTGGCAAAGGTTTCTGTGTTTGTTAAATAGATAAACAGATCTTTTATTATTTCATGTCTTTTTGTTACTTAACGTATTTGGTCATTAACTAAGAACTTAATTAACATATTTAATTAAGAATAATTAAGATAAACCAAATTCTGTATTAGTTTTCTTTCGGCGGTTTCCGGGGTAAAATGATTTTAACGAATGTTCACGAAATTTCTATTTGGCAAGCTTTCTTGTTTATAAATTTCCTTCCGAAAGTGAAGTAAGGTTCATAAGAACAGTTTTTGAAAGGGCTAATGAAGGAACAATATAACTTTTTGCTTGAAATAACGGTTCAACAAAAAAACAAAAATTTTACACATTTTCGATGCGCTAAACGATGTTATATACTTTACTGAATCACCATAACATCTCAATAATGTAATAGATAATTTGCAATCTCTATGTTTAAGTTTTCATGAAAGAGATTTATTTTTCTGAAAAAACATTCATAAATTGTAAATTTTTGAAAACACTCGAAAATTAATTTTCATTTCCCGTTGCAATAATTGTATAAGTTCAGCGAACAAAGAATGACTTTTTTTGATTGCTTGTTTGCATAAAAACTATTTTTAAAAACTTAAAAATAAATTTAAACTTAATCATTTAATTGAATCAGCGCAATATTTGTTTCTTGTTTTATGAAATCAATAAATTAAGGCATATATCTCAAATTACTTTGACGTATTTGTGATTGTATACGTTATTGTAATATGTATACGATTATGTCAGACTACTTTTTATTTTATTTTATATGGTAACGCTTAAATCATATCAGTGACGTGTATTTATTCAGCTGTCAGAGAATTGACATATGGTTTGGTTATATTGATTCGGTGTAGTAGTAGCAAGTCACAAGGGTTTTAATTTTAATGAGAAAATTTTATAAATTTCTTTAAAAAATATTAAGCTTTTGGTATCACAAATGCAAAATTCATATAATAAATTACCAAAATAAATTAAAAGATTGCAATGAAGAAGTATAATTTTTTTGCCAACCGTAGTTAAGATCAGAAGAATCAGAACAATTAAATGACCATTACAACAAAAAAAAAAAAACTAAATGTTAAATTAAATTGAATGATTTAGTTAAAAATTGATTTAAAAGCACTAATTAGAAGTTTCAAATAGTTATTTTTTTTAGATAAGACTTAGGAAAAAAATATAGATATAAATATGTCTTGGATGAGAAATTACAAATACCGGTGGTATGAAACATTGGCAATGAATATACTAAAAATGGGACCTTTACCAAAACATATAGCATTTATAATGGACGGAAATAGAAGATTTGCAAAACATTCCCAAATACAAAAAATCGATGGTCATTCAAAAGGTTTCGATAAATTAACTGAATGCTTACAATGGTGCTTAAGTATGGAAATTAAAGAAGTTACTGTATTTGCGTTTAGTATCGAAAATTTTAAACGTACTCAAGATGAAGTTGATGATCTTTTACGATTAGCTAAAGAGAAATTTGATAAACTATTAGAAGAAGAAAAGGTTTTATGTGAAAATGGAGTAAGAATAAGAATTTTTGGCGATTTATTGTTACTACCAAAAGATTTACAAAATGTTATAGCTAAAGCAATGTTAATTACAGAACAAAATGATAAGTTATTTTTAAATATTGCCTTTGCGTATACTTCGCACAATGAGATTACAACATCTATACAAGAAGTTATTGAAGATCATGGAGATTTGAAAAAAGAAGATATAAATGAATATTTAATATCAAAGTGCTTATATATGAATTCATCACCAGATCCTGATTTATTAATAAGAACATCTGGTGAATCTAGAATAAGTGATTTTCTTATGTGGCAGGTAATTTTCTTTTTTTCTTTTTAATTTTCGAGTATAATTAGGGATACATGTACAATGTATGGCAAATATTTTAAATATTAGAACTTTCATAATTTTTACTTATTAATTAACATGCTGATAAAGATTGATAACTGATAGTAGTTTAAAGTTCATTTCTCTTATCTATTAATCAAACTGTTTAAAAATTTTTAACATGTCTTCTTTGTAACTATATAACTTAACTATTCATTTTATTGATAAATATATTTAAATAAAATATTTTATTATTGCTATTCCAGTTATCATCCACCGTTCTATATTTTACACGAGCTTTATGGCCACAATTAACTCTTATGGATTTCTTATTTGGTATATTCTCTTATCAATTGAAGAAAATTCAACTTACATCACTAAAAACAGCAATCAAAACAAATAGCCAAAATCAAAATGAAATATGTGAAGATAAATCGTCTTTAAATCAATCTAATCAATATTTATCCGATCGAGTATATAATTTTCTAAGGCATGTTGATATACGCAGAAGACATTTGTTATTAGATTTAACTAGCTCAAAAAAAGACGATATTTAATATATATATTTGTTTATAATAGAAAATAAAGTTATAATTTATGATAAAAAAAAATATATATTTTACTTTTTTGCTTAGTTGTAATTAAACAATTTTCAAAATTTGAATATTTCATTTTAAAAAACAAATAATTTTAGTTTTGTGTAAAGAAATTTTGAGATCACAGAATATGAAAATAAATCAAGAAACTCCTTAAGAAATGACATAATATATGCTTCGGGACTCAAATAAAAATATATTAGATACTAAAAATGTAAATTTTTTAGTATATAGTATGCGAATTACCAGTATTTTAAGTATTATAAAATTTCAACAAAGAAAACTCTTTAACTTTTTTATTAACCTTTTATTTATATTCTATAAAGTATTTTCTGTTTCTAAATATGTAATACATTATTTTTTTTGTATTGATTTCATATGCCTTAATGTTTAAACAAATAATTAATATTTTAATATTATGTATTTAATTTCATTACATATACAACATAACATTGAAAGAGGGGCAATTGTTTCTGTTATATTTCTCTTTTTATAACTCTAATAACTACATGATAATATTTTATTTTTTATAAAAATCGGAATTTTTATAAAATAAATTTAATTATAATGTTCACCATAGTTAAAAATAATATCAGGACGAAACAATAAAAAAAAGGATATATGTACATAATTATTATTCTTTCTAATCCATTTAAAATATTAAAGTAAGCTGGTGCATAGTCGAAAATTTCAAAAAAAAAAAATTAAATCAATTATCCTTTTTGATATTCCTATGTACATATATGTATGAATATGATGATTATACATTTAAATATGTAAATAATAAATAAAGAAAAATGTAATGTAGGCATTTTGTACAAACGAACATGTAAATGAAAATAACATTAAAAATGTTATAAAATAAACCTTTCTATTACATATAATCTGCAATACAAATATCAAAAGATTATTTTACATAATTCTGTTGCAAAAGTATTGTAATAAAATTCCCTCATTTATTATAATTATAATTATAATTACATATATAAATTTATTTATTGCAATCTCAATGAAATATTCAAGGTGTTAAATGAAAATTTTAAAAAATTTTTATGATTTTAATATAAGCAATTTTTATTAATTTGAATATCTGTTCGACTACAAGGTGTATGTATGCATATGTAGAATAATAAATACATATGATTGTATTTTATGCACTCATAATTATATGATATTTTTGTAAGATATTTAAAAAAGTTATTACAAAAATTAACATAAAACAATTTCACAATCTAAAACATATTCTAAGAAATCTAATTATTTACAATTTAAATAATTTTTTTTATGGAAGTTCAGTTTACAACGTCTTTAGATACTTTTAGATTGGTTTGCAAAACTAATTTTTATCTATTCTATTCGCAAATTGAAAATTTTACAAATAAAAGATTAAGAAATTAAAATTGACAATTAAATGAAACAGATTTATTTATTTTATTTGTTTTGAATGAAAATTCAAATGAAAAAGAAATTTTAGTTTTTATATTTGATTGCCAATGTTTGCCTGACAATTTTTAATAAGCATTTATAAAATAAAGATAACATTTTTTTCTCCAAAATAATTTGCAGAATTAATTAAAATTTTTATCCTGTATTTTGATTACCCAATTTATTTACAATGTAAAATTTAATATGTATTAATTTTTATTATTAAAAATAGACTAAAACAGTTTTATCTATAGTCCAACTACAAAATCTAATATAAATTTGAGTTCTGTAGTGAATTTTTTATATATATTTTAGTAAAAAATGAAAAATATAAAATAATGAATATTATACAAGATGATATTGTATAAATTTTACATAGCTCAATTCAAATGATAATGAGATTTATTACCAAAATATTACGAGTATCATTTATATCTAACATAAAAGATATAAAATGTTAAGATTTTGAAAAAAAAAAAAAAACAAGTACAAAATATTAATTTTGGTGAGCAATAAAATGATAAAGCATATTTTTCATCTGTTCCTTATACGCACTGTTCTTAAACAAATATTTAATTTTACACAAAATATATATTTAACAATAAAATTTTATTTCATTTTATAGTAGCATCTTAATTGTTTTACGATTACAAAATTATTATTTTTATAAATAATTTTTGAAGACATCCAATCGAAGTTGTAAGGATAAGAAGGTAAATAAAAAATTTCATTTGTCTTTGATATCATAAAATAGTTATTGTATTCAAAAAAAAAATAAACTCATACTAAATTAATAATAAAAATTAAAAAAAAAGCAAAAAGGAATAATTAACAAATAAAAAATATTTATAAACAATTATATATCTACTATAACTACAATATATTATCATTACTATTATTAATATACAATCACAATTCGTACGTTATTGTTAGGTAAAAATTAATTAAACAGTTTAAATAAAATACGAGGGTGATTGTTGATCCGATTTTACTTTCCAAAAAAAAAAAAAAAAAATGTTTTGGAAATTAAATTTATGAGACAAAATCAATTTTTGAAAATTAATTAAATACATATAAAATGTTGTACATGAGTTTTTCTTTGTTTCATATGAAAATTAATAATTCCAATTTAGAATTTAAAATTAAAATTTTCTTTATAAAATTGTTTCAGATTTACATTTTTTTTTTTTAAATTTAATCTGTTAATTTTATATTACTTATGACTAGAGTATTTAGTTATTTAAATATTTATATATTATTTACAAAAATAAAATGTTAGCAAAACTAAAGAGTGCATTTTTTTTAATCTATATTTTTTTTTTTTTTTTTTTGTTAACTTAAAAATCTATTGAATAACAATTGAATCGACTTAACAATTTACATATTATGTTGTGAATATCAATTTTTGTTTTTTTATTAATTGGACAATTTTAGGTCATTGAAGCAATTCATAATGTTTGAATACATTTTACATAGTTATTATTCAAGTTTAAGAGGATTTCTAATTATTAATAACATCAATTAAAATAATTTCAATAATAAAAATTGAATAATTTTTTAATTATTTTTAGCATTTTAATTTATCAAAAATACAAATTAAAATTATTGGAAAAAAAAGAATATATAAAACATCACAACTTTAATATTATGCCAACAATTTTTTAATTTATGTTATGAAATATAATTTAGAATATGTATAACCCTCGTATATTACAAATTCTTTTTATTAAAATATTTATTACATTCAATTATTTTTACCTCTTTCTTGCATTCAATTTTTATCTGAAACTTTCCTTACTATATATTTATTTTATTATTTTTTTTTTTTGTGATATTCGCTTTAATGTTTTCTTAGATTTTAAAATCTTTCATATAACATAATCTTTTAAGATCATTAAAGATTAAAGTAATTATGTCGATTATTTGTAGAAGAACTTTGATTCCTTTGATCAGGATTTAAATCTGTATTAGGTAAAGCAGCTACACCAATTCCTCCTTGTGATGGTGTTGCTATAAAAACATCTGCCTCAGTATTAGAATTTTGAACTGTTGGCTCTTGTGTCAATGATATTGATGAAGTTGGTATTGATGATGTCGAGGGTTGTTGTCTCGAATTTGAAATTGATCCTATATCTTTTTTATTTCGTTTTGAACTTTTTGATTTGTTCTTTTCTTTTGAATTTGAGATTTGTACTGTTGTTAAAGAAGATGGTGCTGATGTAGTTGTTGCAACCGTATTATCTTGAAATGAACCACTTAAGTTCGTATTTAAAATATTATTTGATGCAGTTGATGGTGATGTTGCCACATTAACTGTTGTTGGAGAAGGTACTTCATGTGTTCCCAATCTATTTGAATTTGTTTGGGTAGTTGTAAAAGGACTTTCAATTTCATTGAATAAAGGTGTAGTTAATGAATCAGAGCGACGAAAAAGTCTAAAAAAATAAATTCGAATGAGCAAAAGGTTTTTAAAGTGTATATTAAATTTTACCTAAATTTAAAAAAATTCCAAAAACTTCTTTCTTCATTGGCATTTTGCTCAACAATCGGCGCTTCATTTAATCCTGAATTTCGGTTGAATGGATTTTCTCTACGTGAATTTGAACTGTTATTTTGAGTACCGCTTGCAGACTCAGCACTATTCAAAACTAAAAGTAATAAATTTTACAATTTCTTTAAATTTAAAATATTTAATATATTTTTGTTTTTAATACCATTATCTTCATCATCTGTAGTCGGACGTTCCTGATTTCGTTGATTGTTTGTATTTGTTTCATTTCCATTATTATCATTTTGATTATTTTGTGGAAAAGTACCATGATCGTTTGGATTCAAACTGGAGATTAGTGGTTGAACATCATCATCAGTGTCAGTATTACTGTCCGACGAATAATGTCTCCTCCTGGTTTGATTCCTCGTCTCCGATCTGACAAAAACCCTTCTCTTGCATATTGGACAAACTCGACGATTTTTAGTTAACCAAACATCTATACAATGGCAATGATATGCTGAAATCGATTGTTAAATTTTATTTCAATTAATTTAAACTTAAATAAATAATATACAAATCATATAATTTTGCTATATATATATATATATACATAATTGATTTACCATGTTTACAAGGTAAAACTCTTATTCTTTCTCCTTTACTATATTCTTCTAAACATATTATACAAGACTCGTAAGGTAATCCTTCACTAAATTTTACAACTTGGATTTTTTTCAAAAGACGTTTTGGTAAACGATGTTGATTTAATCGTCTTTGCTCCCTAATACATTTGTATATCATGTATAAAATCTAAAAATAATTTTTTTTAAAACAAATACACAACTTAATTTATGTATTGGATTGCTAACCATAACAAAAAAACATAAACCAACTAAAACTGAAAACGGAATTATTAAATTTTTATTAATGTTAAATGGAAGTGCATCGTTTATAATTAAAACATATTCGCTCTGATTCAAATAGTAATCTTTGATATAGTTTCCACTTGATTCCCCAATAAAAACTGCTGGAATTTTTATTCCTGTACTGTTCTTTGCTGACATTTGTTCTACAATAAATAAAAAATATTTTTAGATAAGTTGAATTCACAATATAATAAAAAAATACTTTAGAATAACAACTATCTGTAATTTTTATAAACTTTATAAATTTAGTAATCAATTAAAATAACACATTTTACTTACCTAAATCATCACTTCCTATATTATAGACTATAGCAGCATCGTATTGGGCATTTTGGGCATTGCGAATTTTTTCTTCAAAAGTACAATTGTTTCTGTAATATAAAAATTTTAATATAAAATTTTTCATAAATTTAAAACTAGCTATGAAATACCTAGCTATAATCAAAACAAATTTTCTATTGTTAATGGGCCCAAAAGGTATTTGTTGATGTGGTGTTGGCTGTGTATCACATCCATCAATCGGAGAAGCTCCAAGTGGATATACACGTAAACCTGTACTTGGAATAGGATCACCAAATAGAGCCGGCAAGTCATAAAACTCTTCTATTAACTAAATTTATATTTTTTTTTAAAAAAAAAAGAATTAAAAATTTTCTTCTATCTTGAAAATCATAAATAAACTTACTTGATCTGTGTATCTTCTTCTAACTAATATATGTGATCTAATTGATGGTGTATAAAGGGCACAAATAACAAAAATCAATAAAAATGAAGATTTCATGTTTCTTGTTTTGATGAAATTTTCTCACTGTTGTCGTCTATTATGATGAAATTTTGTAATTTTATCTGTATTAAAGACAATATTTTCTTTTCACATAAAAGATTAAATTTTCATCTTTAGGTGACTTTCTTTATTTTGTATAATTATTGTTCAAACTTCAATTGTTTGTGAAAAATATCTTATTTATTGATAATATGAAAAAAAAAAAATTCTTAAAAACTACATTTTATATTTTCAGATGTTTAGATTTATAGGATTTCTTTTATTAACCTAAAAAGAAAAAAATTAAGATTAATATTGAATTTGTTGTCATTTCAAAATAAAATATACGTAAATAAATTGATAAAGAATGCAAATTTTATTTCAATATTGACAATGAAAGCTTTTAAATCTAGTTCTTAATTTTATATATTATGCACTCAATACAAGGTACAGACTATTTCTCATACTAAGAAAATCTCATTATTCTATGTAGTAAATCTATTGGAAAAATCGGCAGAAAGGTTAAAACCCCTTTAAGTTCGAAAGAAAAAAATGTGCTCTACAAATTAAGAGAAGGATTTGAAATGTTTAATAAATTATTTAATTTCTAGACTTCAAATATAATAAAAATCAGCTGGTTTATGAAGTTGGAAATAAAACAATTAAATTTTGAATTAAATATATATTGGCACGATAACTGATAAAACTGATTTTTTATTATGGATGCCTACCCCAGCCTATTAAATTAGCTACCTACATAATATTAAGTGAAAAAATGATGCAATTCAAAGCATATGAACGCTGTACTCGTATGTAGCTATTGATTATATGACAATGGATTTACAAATAAATAAAATGTGTGTTATTAAAAAAACATATATGTATGTAAATTGTGTATTAAATGTTCTCGCTATAATCTGACTCATATTTATTATATCTGATAAAAGCGAATGTTTACTTATTTTTTTAAGAGTTTAGCTAGGTATACACAAAAACCCATAAAATACATTTTTTATTATGACCCATAAAATACTTATATTATATTAAATTTATTATACCTAGGTAATCGATTTAAGAATGTAAGAGGATATTAAAATTAGAATATTCATTTCTCAGGGTATAAGAATGAGCGTGAAAATAAACAACTTGACTATACCTACCTATTAGTATTACCTAGAAAATACCCACATATTTTAATTTCAGAATAGAACAAGAAGTTATTTACAGATTTGCAAGTAATTTATATTATTTTTTTGGAAAATTTTCAGTGAAAATAAAGTAATGTAGGTCTACTAGGTAATTCCAAAACATTTTTTACTATATTGAGCAGATAATAACTGATATTAAAAAAAAATTGTAATTCTGAAATGAATTCCACAAGACAGTAAAAAAGTTTTATGTAAAATCACGTCTTTTTTTACTTGTTTTATGTATTAAAATTGCTCAAAGTAATCATATTTTTCATTGCCATTATTGTGAAGATGTAGAACAGTGTAAGTACGTACCTACCTACCTACCTGTGTAAATAAAGAATGGATAAAGAATATGTAACTAGTTAGCTGCCTCAATATCTAAACAATAAGATCGTGGTAGGTAGATTATTTATTCAATTATGTTAAAAAATGACACTTTGTTTCCTCAGTTATACAAATTTTATTTAGGCAATATTGGTTTACAATAAGTAGATATCTATACTTTACCGATACCTAACATATCTGAATTAATAATACAAAAAAAAAAAAAAACAAAAATATTCTTAAATATGATAAGATAACAAAATCTATTGAGAAAAAAGTCAATTAATTAAAATTTAATGGAGAACAGATAGAATCCCTACCTACCCACATTGATATTTTAAATTTCTACCTTGAGATTTTGATTTGAAAGTAATAAATAATTGTTTTACATTTTTAATTTTCTATTGATAAAAATTACGATAAACAAAGCATTTCTTCCAAATATTTCGGGACCAGCTAAAGCACTACATTTTCATTATATTAAAAGTAAATCTATTACAAATTATATAGTTAGTTAAATATGGAATACTTTAGTTGTATAATGCTACTTAAGAATGTGGACATGAAAATTTAAGCATGTAAAAATCGTCTCAGCTTAAAATGTTTATTTATCGTTCTTTTCTTTTATTTTCTCTTGTATTCTACCATATCCTGTATAATATATAATGTAAATTTATATTAAATTATGTAAATGCATGTATATATGTACCTTCTTAGCATTAAAATATACATATCACTTTATTTTTAATAATGATAATCCACCAGACGAAATTCTATTATGACGGCAAATTTAGTTACATATAATATATGTACATATGTATGTATGTAATATTCTAATTTGGAATGATGTGATGAATTCAGTCACAGCTTTAAATTCTTTTTTAATTTTTATTTAAATTTTAAATTAAATAAAATTACACTTTTATATTATACATAAAATCCTATTAAATTTTAACAATTCGTAAAAATTTTTCAAAATATTTTTGAAACAAAAAAAAAAAAATCAAGTACTTGGGTACATTTGAAAGAATTTTTTAATTTCAATCTTTAAAATATTTATTCATTAAAGTTTTATTTTAAAATTAAAAAAATATATGTTAAAATCTTAAATTATTTTAAAATGAAATTCTTTTTTAAAATATTATTGATTATTTCCAAACTTTTTTTTTTATATTCGTTATGTAGTTTTAAAGCAATAAAAATAAAATTGTTTTGAATGTTAGAAAGAAAAAATTTGTTTTTGATTCGTAATAGTTTTGGATTAAAACAAATTGTCCTTTTTAAATATGTAAATAAAATATTTTACAATAAATAAAAATGAACATTGTAATCGAAATTTTGCACTTTTTCAAAACAAAGAAAAATAATTTGTAAGTATTTTTTTTTCGCACTTTAATTTTTTCTCTTCTCTGATAGATAATCAGTCAGTTAGACATTTATAGATCAGCTGAATGATTACTTTTATATAAATAAATGTATTGATTTATATGACAACTGTCATATAAAAAGTAATTGATTAAGTAAATCATTTTGACAATTTGAATAATTATAAAAAAGCGACACCTAACAAAATTTCAATAAATACAAATTGAAAAACTTTGAAAAAATATGACACAACAAAAAAGAAAAATCGTTGTTCAAATGTGACAATTTGGTAGCGTGAAAAAACATTTTGATAGTTGAGATCAGTTTGATATATGATAATTACATTATTTTAAAATTATTACAATTTTTGCAATTAATAAAACTTTACAAGTCTTGCAATTAATGTTCAACTTTAATTTATTGTTTGGACACATACATACGTAAGCAAGCAATTAAACTATTGCGTCAATACAAATAGAATGCTGATATAAACTAAAACTTGCATTTGATAGCTTCATTAGATGCAATCACACAGTAAACTAAAATTTAGATATGCAGAACCCCTCAGATGTAAGCTTTTAATAGTAAGAGAACTCTTTAATAAGTTTCTAATAGTTTTCGCTAAGGGGAATATGGTATTCAGCACGGCTGACAGAAATAAAAACGGTTGATTTTTTATAATGGGTTTTGGATAAGAAAAAGAAATGCTGTTTTAATTTTATTTTAGGTTAGTTACAAAAAAAGTGGTCCAGTTTTGCTGTTTGTTCAATTCGAACAATATCTTTTTGACATTTTTATTGACAATTTTTTTTTAAATCCTATTGCTGTATAGTTAAGTCCTAAGTCAAGGACATAAAATATTGGAAGAAAAAAAAATCTGCAACTTTAACAAATTTTGGATTACGGGTGCCTTAAATATCCCAGTTCAAAACCTTAAACTCGTAGAAGTTTATTGTGATCACATTAATAATCAATCCACTTCATAACAGTTAACAGTCGAATTTAATTTTATTAAAAAAATTGTACAGGGATATATTTATAGTTTTGTCGTTTTTCGTATAAGTATAAACACACATCATTTGTGCCTTCTTTCCTTGTTTACAGACACATATTATTATGCATGTACATCCTATATAATTTTCTTTTTTTCAATTTTTGCCACTTTATTTTAAAAATTTTCACAAATATTTACATAAACATTTTTAACAATTTTCATAACATTTTAACAAAATCTCAATAAATCCTCTTAAATAAATATGAAACACAAACTGTTTTGTTGCCAAAATTCAAAACCTAGGGCAAAATAAATTACTGCTTTGGAATGCTCTTATTAATTATAGCTTGAAATTTAGCTTGGCGATATTTTAACAAAAGCTAAATTTGATTCTGAATATATTTGAATCTTTTTTTATACAATATAAAATTTATTTTAAGCTATTTTGTAAGCTATTAACTTGTAATTGAATATAAAAATTAAAAAAAAAAAATTTGGACATTTTGTAACAGTGCCGTTGTTTTAAAAATACAACAATAGCTAAAAACTTTTGTGCAAAAATAATAATTACACTTTTGAAAACTGAATATGGCCTCACACAATTTCATGCATTTTTAATTTTTAATTTTATATTATTAATATTTAAACAAAAACATTAGCAAAAAGGATCCTATTATATTTGATTTAATTTCTTATTATATAATTTTAAAACTAGAGTAACATTTGTAAAACGATTGTACATATAAATATTTTTATTTTTTTACTATTAACAACAAAATAAACATTTTTCCTAATGTTAATATAACTTAAAATATTTATGCTATTACATTTTGTATAAATTTTCGATTTTTAAAACCATGTAAAATTTTATTTTTATATATTTTTTCCAATATTTAAAATTCAACAAATATAAAAAGCACTTTTAATAGTACAATATTTTAAAAAAAATATTGAGCAAGTTCAATATTTATAAAAATATGCAATAGGGTTCATATATAAATATGAAAATATTAAATAAAATGAATGAAAAATATTTATCTAATATTTTAGGAATTGAAACTTTCGATATTTTAAAAATATCACATACCACACCTGTATATCATGTCGCATAATATTATAATTAGATATATTTTTATGAGGCCATTTCAATAATTTAATCACATCTACATTTTAAGTATTTTTCCTAGTTACATATATATTTGGATATAATTATATGCATATAGTTGATTATTTCCAAAATTTATTAAATAGATCCATAAATGAATCATATATCATAAATGTTATGGCAACATCTAAACAAACACGACTTAAACGTGGTACAGTTCCTTTATAAAATGCTGTAGGACCTTCATTTTTCATTATTTGATATGCACAATCCAATGTATTCTTATATCTATGAGCTTCTAAACCTTGCATACGAGTTTTAACAACATCTAATGGTGTATTACCAAAAACAGAAGCAGCTCCAGCTAATGCACCAAATGCACCAACAATAGGCTTCGGTACAGTTTTATTTTGATCACCACCTTTATATAATTCTTTACAACTTTCCATTACATAAAAACGTATAGCTTGATTTGAACTTTGTTTTAAAATTGTTGCAGTTAAACCTTTATAAACACCAGATATTCCTTCACTTTTTATAATTAAACCAACACCATGAGCGAAACCTTTAAATTTTGGATTGGCACTTCTTTGATCATTAATAAATTTTGTTTTGATTGTTTCCATTGGTGTTACAGCAATAATAGCTTCTAATGCACCAGCACCTAAACCAGCTAATAATTTACTTGATGTTGATGATAAATTGCCATTTGAATCGCAAAGATGTGATTTAAAAAATTCAAATGCACCAAATCTAAAATTAAAAATTATATTTTAAAATTTTGTTGCTATTAACATTTTTTTTTTAATATTTCAAAATTTTTTTTTAATACAAACCGTGTTGCCGATTTGGGAATACTTCCATATAATAGAACACTTAAACCGCGATAAAGTCCAAAAAATCCTCGATTTTTAACAGTTTTTTTTACACAATCAATAATTCCATTGTACTGTTTTTTATTACCTAAAAAAATTAATTTATTAAAAATTTTTTATTACAGCTTCATTGTTTGTATTTTAATGAGAAAATAATTTTGTGTTACACGTGCAACAAGTATGAAAATAACATAATTTTGTTTTACAACCTGGTTTTAGGAATTGAAAATTTGAAGTCAACTGCTACGCAGAAAGTAAGAAGAAACGAAGAATGAATAAATGAGAAACAGGCAGTTTTTGTTTGAAAGTGGACTTAGGACAGTTCTGATCTAAGACGGTAATATATTCAAAATAGAAGAGGTTTTCTTTTTCAAGTAAATCTTCCTAAAAGTACATTGTTTTACTTTTAACAAAATATAATAGAATGGAATAGACGAATAAAGTTCAAGAAGAGATGATGATAATATTTTTGATTTGCTTCAAAAGGATTTGTGTGACATAAAGTAAACCCTTTTGAATATTTTGAATTCTTCCATTCTCTAGTTTTTATAAGAGCTTTTGAAAATGAGTTTTTCTTTAAAAATTTTTATTTTTTTTTTTTTGTGTACAAATTGGTTAAAAGAGGATACTAGAAAATATAATACATATAATACTTATCTACACCGAAATTTCATTGCATTTTATTATTTGCGGACGTGCTCATACGTAGTATATTCAAAATGCAATAACAACCTTTGAATGTAAGATACCGCGACTTCAAAATTGTTGTTATACCCTGCCTGCCTACACAATTCAGGAATTAAATACTACCCTTAAGCTGAATAATCTTTTAATGACGTACTACCGTGTTACTGCAGTTTATTGAAAATATTTATAATAAATTGAAACTTTATAGTAGCTTACTTAGTATAACAGTTTTCTTGGTTTTTAAATTTCGATTAAATTTTCAATTTTCACTTAACTTTAGGGCTTATTTCATTAATAATACCAAATTTATAATATGTTTAATGAATGAAAATGGCTATAAAACCTTTTCTTAAGAAATGATAAACCTTCTTTTTGAATTTATTTTACCTTTTTCATCAAGTTGTAATTGTGTTTTAACATATTCGGTGGGATATGTTATACAAATTTCTATACCACCGGTAATACCACCAGCAATAATACCCTTTAATCCTTTAGTTCCACTACCAGTAGCTGCAGCTGCTGCACCATTATTTAACATCCATGGCCTTTCACCAAATGGATTTACAAATGTTTTAAGATTATTTTTCGATGAATTTTTTGTAAATTCCAATAATTGACTTGTATTATCCATATTATTTAAATTATTTATTGTATATAATATTTATATAAAGTATATAAATAGTGTTGTTATATATATAACAGTTTTATATATATGTGTAGGTATAGTATATTTGGTAAGAAAAATATTTTTTTTTAATTTGATTTTATATAATATATTGTATAAATAATATAATAGTATTGTATAAGTATAGGTATGTATGTACTATATAAAATTGCAGTCTAAATTTACTTATACATTTATAATGTAGAATACATAAAGCATTTATACAGGGTGAATGTATCAAATGGAAATGTATGCAAGTATGATGACCTGGAAAAAAAAATATTATTGTTATTTTTAATTATAAATATTTAATTTTTTAATTACTAAATTACAAAAATATGCTGGACCAACATGTCTGAAAGTACACAAATCGCTGAAGTAAAAACAAGTGACTATGGAGTTCAACTTTTACAACATTTAGTTTTTAATGTTTGCGATTATAATCAATGGAGTCCAAGGTCCAAAATATTGAAATTTTTTTTTGTCTACATACAAAACAGTTGTTTTATGATAAAGGGGTTGTAATTATCTTAGGCAATGTTTAGCTTATTATTGTGCGACTGAATTCTATATCAGAATTGTTTACTAGTTACTTAAATAATTTGTGGGAATTTTAAAATTCTTTAATTTTTTCAATGTTTTAATGTATATAATTCAATAAGTAATCCAATAAAAATTTGCTTTTGCTAGTGGTCTTACTCTAACAAATGCTCTGGTGAACTAGAAAATTTCAAAATTTTACAATTCTCTTGAACTTGTATCAAAACTTGGATTTTGAACTTTTAAATACTTTTTATTGTTCTTCAAATCAAAAAAAAAATTTTCAACTTAAGATCGGTGAAACAATTTTTGTTATATAGGTACCTTGAACTGCTTCGAAAGAGTATTGGAAACACTCTTATATATAATTTTCAAATAGTTTAATTTTGCTCTTTTAGTACCAACATTTGTTTCCTTAAGAAGTCAGAATAAATTTAATAGTGCCCGGTATAATATTAATTTACCCTGCCTGCACTCAATCGTATAATAAAAAATATGAATTATTATACCTACAGTAACGGTATAAAAATAAACTCAAAATTATATAAGAGCAATTAAAAAATTAAAAACTCTTACTTTCCGCTTTAAAATTAAATTAAATTGAAAATTACAATTTTTTTCTTTTTTTGCAATTTTCTTGTAACCTTGCTTCTCTTTTTTTTTTTGTTACTATTATTTAAGTAAAACTCTAAAACGAATGCACACATAACGTAGCTGGTTATCGCACCATTTCCATAAGTTTTTTTCTTTGTTTTCATAGATTTCAGTAACCTTGACCAAAAAAAAAAAAAATTAAAAAAAAAAGAAATAACGAAAATGTATGCGGATGATCTGAATTTCAAGTTAACCTCAATGCTTCTATAACATTAGAAAGTCATAAAAAATAATACATTTGGGTGGGGTATAAAAAATAAGTTCAAAATATTTTTTCAATTTACCAAAAAAAAAAAATATTTTTTCAATATTCCGCATTCAAAGGTAAAACTCATTAAGCACATTTTTTTTCGAAAATCAAATTAAATGCCGCCTAATTTTTATTTTTTGTGGGTATTTATCAAATCATTGAGCTTTCGTAGATCTTCTTAAAATTGTTTCTTTTAAATTTATCACTATATAGATTTCAAAAAATTAAGTATACCAATGCACGTAATTTGGTAAAAATTGATTATTTCGAAACTTACTAAATGAGATTTACATTTAAACTAACCCGTTTTTGTATATGTGTGAGTGCATATGTTATTTTATAACAAAATAAAGTGCATTCTTCTAAAAGCTATACATTACCGGTATATGAATCAGTTATAGGGTATTTTCGATAATTCAGTTCTAACGCTAGGTAATTTTGATTATATTGAATTTTCAAATTACTAATTTTCTGAATTTTGAGGGAATTTTCAAAATTATAAACTGAAATTCTGACAGCAATATCTGCAAATTATTTAATATTTTATTGTAATTTAAAAATTTATAAAATTGGATTATTTATTTATTATTATGCATATAAAGAAGATTAAAATATTCTAAAGAATAATCTTTTAAACATATAGCAGCCATTTATAACTCTTTTTATTGCATGTATAATATTATATTTTAAATATAAATGTGTATAACACTTATCGAAAATAAAAATAAAGGCATATTATAGCATAAAATTTTAAACTTAAAATTAATGTATTTTTGGCATTAAATAACAATAAAGAAACTTTAATCTTTGGAATCGAAAATAAATTTCGGAATATTTAAAATAATTTTTTTTCTTGGAGAAATATTGCATCATTTAATATAATTAACGGATGCAAATAATAAAATATTTATAGAATTTTCAATTAAACTGCATATGCATAAAAGTTTATTTGAATTTAAAATTAATTTAAATAAGTATAAATACATATATAGAAACTAGAAACGAAAACTTTTTTTTAAATTATTATTAATTCACGAAACATACTATGTAGGTATTCATTTCGAAGAAACAAAATTAAATATAAAAGGTCATTCAGTAATCAAAATTCAAACATTTTTATTTTTAATACAATGTTTGTGTTAATATGTACATATGTGTGTATTTGAAATCCATATGTACTTAAAGTGAATATTGAACATTGTCGTATCTAGGACAGCTGATTTTAACTCACAGCAACGGTTATCAGTTGGAAACTAAAAAAAAAAACGCATAGTTATCAGCTAAAAATACAATGCTTATCAATTAATTTGAACATCTCATAATCGTCTGATATGCTCATAATTTTTTTATATACATATTGTAAAATATACTGTATACGTATGTTATGCACCATATCGAATGATTTAGTTTGCTGTATTCGAATCATTGATTAAAATTTTTCTTTTCTGTTTTGTAAACATATTTTTTGTTATTTCTAAGTGGCGAAATAGAAAATAATATTCCAAGTTGCTATAAAATAGATTATTCCTCGACTTTCAAAATTTTCGAAAATACTGTGTTAATTACATGTACGTTAATTCAGCAACTATAATTCATAATTTATTAATAACCACATGCATACTATAATCCATAATCTTAATTTCAAACTTAAAATTTAAATTTGAATGCAGTCATTTTAATTTTGAAATAATTTATATAATTTATAACAACTAGTTACTATATTATTCATTTAAATTCTTTTATATAAATTAATGACCCATGCATACGTGTATTTTAAAATACATATAGTAAAAAATATAACACAGTCGGTCACTTTAAAATATTATTTACATTTTGAAACATACTTATACATACATACGCATAGATAATAATAATTACATACATACGCATAGATAATAATAATAATTGTATTGTTGCTAAAAGTACATTCAATTCAGCTGTACATTTATTATATTACCTCATCAAGAGCTTTTAAAATACGTATGTATGTACATAATTTAAGCAAATTCTAAATTTTTTTAAGTCAGACCAAGTACAAAATAAAATATGTGAAGATGTACATATGTATTTTCATATAAATATGTAATATTAATGAAAAATCGTCAGTCTGTCTTAATTTAAAATTATACCATAAAAAATTTTAAACACACACATGTATATGTAAGTACAGTCTGCTCCAGTTAACACAATAAAAACACAGGTTTTTCATTCTGTTGAACAAGTTCAATATATTAAATGCCGATTAAATTAATCTACAAAGTAGTTGTGGTGCACACAGTTGATTCTTTATTCTTCACCAAATTTTTTTAGATATTGTTGTAACACTTACTCTTAATTGCAAAGAGTTATGATTTTAAACTTAAATATTTTCTGTTAATTTTTTGTTTTTGGAATTTCGGAATTTTCGGGATTTGTTTTCGGAAAAAAAACTGTATTTTATTGAAATGATTGAATTGATATTTTATTTAATTGAACACATTATTGACATGACGCCATATAAGTTTTACTTCTTTTTTCTAATTCAATACTAAAAGTTCGGCTACAAGAAAAAAACAGCAATTTTGTAAAATTTGTTCACTATGTTGTACTCTTATAGTTCAGTAACTCAATTTGTGTGTTAATTCGGTTGGGTGTGTTCATAAAATTGACTGTTCTATAGACCAGATTTCTGGTATATGACTTTTTAAAGAAATTTTAACTAACGACTGTCTTTATTATTGTGTGCGGCGAAATTAGAATAGCATATATACAAACATAGAATAGCATGTACTTTAGAATTTTCATTTATTTATACACATTTGTGCAAATGAAAAACAAAATTGTGAGCTTAGTAGAATTGTTAGATAAATATTAAATGAGTTAAAATGAGAGATCTACATCTATACAACTAATTTTTATATCAACACTAAGTAGGTATAATAAATGTGTGAATTTTGTACGATTTAATAAGCGTCTTTTTTTCGATTTTTGTACTCCATATGTACATACATATGTATGTATATATGTATATGTATATCTATATTTTTTTAGGAGTTATTAATTTTTAATCACAAAATCATGCATAGGCAAATATGATAAGATAAAAATTCAAATATTTATTGAAATAACACGACTATTATTAATAAAATAAATATTGATAGAATAAAAAGCGTTCCATGATTTCTTATATTTTGTATATTAGTTCATAGTTTTATACATTATGTAGGTATGTATTTAGCGATAAATTTTTGGTTTGTTTCCAAATGAAATTTGTAATTAATTCAATGCAATTAATATTATTATTTAACCTAAATTTGTAATTTGTGAGCTGCAAAATATTAATTAAAGTGAGCTAAAAAAAATATATTGTTATACATATTTGATACCTACACCAGAAACTATTTTACCTACACAATTTACATATACATACATATGTATGTATGTACATAAATCCTAATTAATAAATAATAGATCGTACCGATGGAAAACCAATTTTAATTTTGACTTTCAAATAATTCTTACTTAATCCATATTCGTTCTACAGCAACAACTTTATTTTCTTATTTAAAAAAAATAAAGATGTTAAAAAAAATTCTGTAGAAATTCAAATTATTTTCTAATAATGTGTTTGTGTGTCAAAGATTATGTTGTCAATATAAATATTATATAAGTTTTTATTTTTATTCCTATATGGTCATTATGTACAAGTTTTAGGTCATAAAATAATTTATGTGTATGTAAATGTATTTTGTTTAACAGTAATAAATATATACAGGGGTGGCCAAGGTCTTTGATACTACGCGAGCCATTTTTCAAAATTTGACGCCTCAATTACAACACTGTA